TAGAATATTTTTGGCAATGCAATCTAATCGACGTTGACAATCATGTAACAAAAGTATTGCTGACTCACAACAGTACTGTTGAAGAGTATCAATTTCATGAAAACTTATTTCTGTAGTGAGTAAACTTAAAAGTCTTAAATCACTATTAAAAGATAGTTTGAAGTTTTACCTCACAAGAAAAGAATTTTACTCCTTAAGACTAGTTACTAACCTAACTCAAACGAGGCTCATTTCAAGGTAAGGTAACTCCTTTGAACTTAATTTCTCTTTCTAGTAAATATCAATTGAACCTGCACTGTCTGGTTTGTGTGAGTTTCTCGTGCCAACTGAGTTGTAAAATCAGCTGTCATGTGGCTCACTAAAAGCTTAAAAATACAGTCTGGAATAGGGTTCAACAAAATTACTTCTCTATCTGACTTCAACTATTTGAGCATAACAATCAAACGGGAAGGAGTTCAATCAGATGCCTGTTTTTGCAAAATAACCATTTTTCCACCCGACGCTCAAATTCTTCAAATCTGTCGTCAAACTTATTAAAATTCACACTACTCAAAACAGTGATTCATTTATCCACTTTCTGGGCAGAAGAAGTCAAATTACTTAGTTGATCTTTGGGAATCTGGCTTGCCCAGTATGTATGGGTGTGAACCATACGCTACTCCTTAAGTCCATTCATTACTGTCTTGTCATATTACAACGCAAATCGACTATTCTTACTCAGTCTTTTATTCCTTCAACTTGTGCCTTACCTCAAAACGTTTCCCCTTCAATACGATCAGATCGGTCGGTCAGTCGAGCACAACGTAGAACTTGTACGTATGTAAATTGGTCCAAGTTGCCATACCCCATAACCACATGAAGACGAAATCGTCACGTGGAATTTCAGAATAGTAGATGTAATAACAGTATCAGTGGTAACAGTAAAGATTAGGCACTGAAGATACGAATCAAAATGAAAACAAACATAAGTGAAGTAAAAACACGAAAAACGTCATGGTAATTAGGACTCTTATAGTTTGAGGGAAGACAAAGGACGGATGCACAAGCACCGCTGCAAAACATTTTGACTCATACCATTTGATGCCTCTAACCCTTGGTTATGATGATCACAGTAGCCCGAATCAGGTGGTCTATATCTATTTACATGGACAAATTGAATTGTCACTGGCTTCATGAAATGCTGTCATGTTTTGGTTTAGCCGCTCATAGCTTTCTTCAGATCACCACTGAACCGTTAAACATCGCCCGTCCGGATAGTCGGTGGTTGGGCACACATAACACGTGTTCCGACCATCTGAATTGGTGATTTACTGCATGATCAGTCAAACTGCATTCCTTACCTAGTGGCTTATTCCTAACCCAGACAGGTCTTACTCTTTGGTTCAAAGATTACACGAGCAATGATTCGTAGACAGCAATATGTTAGGATAGTCGGAAAAATATACCAATAATTATCGTGTTAAGTCTATGGTGGCCTTGGACCTTAAATGTACATTTCCTTTTGGTCGATGTTTGTTTCACTTGTTAAATATTGTGTAAATGTTGTTTTCTATTTTATGGTACGATGTTTGTTTGTTTGGTATATAAATAGAGTATGTCTGAAATACAATGATTTATAACTCAGAGGCTGTGACTTGTGTTTCTTGACTCAACTGGCTGGGACAGACAGCAAAGCAGGGCCAATCAGGGCACTAGTTCGTCCACTACGTGTTTTACGTGTCACTGTCACTGTGATCGATCGATATAACGCTGCGTATCAAAAACCTGCAGTCTCACACGTTACAACACAATAATGAATTACCGGTAATCTATGAGTATCCGCTACTCTTAATCGCCATGTTACATATCCAAAATGTGAGGAAGGGCGAAATGCTACTCAGTTACCTCACTCTTTGGTTTGAAGACAGTTTCCTCGTCTGCGTTAAAAGTGACGCGAGTTAGCAAATCCAGTCGAGCCTTTCGAACCAGTGAAAACATTTCTGCGTACAACAGAACGTCAATACTGACGAAAGTCCAAAGATAAGTGAAGCGATCAATGAGTTCAACCACTTCACCCCTTATCTATAACCTAGACGATGACACGTGTCAGTCCTGAAGCAACATGCCACATTTGACGTGAGTGAACCGTATTCCAAACATACTTGGATTGTCTCCCAGGCTGGTCAGAAGAATGAATTTTGCCAGCATCGTCACCAAACTGAACTGTATCACCTGGGAGTCCTTAGTCAACAAGTGAATACCATGGTAAAGATAAATGCTTGACAAGTCAGACAATGAAAGTTTTGCTTCTAAAAGCATGTTTATGACAAACTTAAATAAAAGTAAGGAAAGCTTCCAGATCAGGTCTTCTCACAAGCTCTAGTTGAACGTCGAAGTGTGATTAGGGCTAATATTTTAGACGGTATATTAGTTAATCTGATTTTTCTGTGATTGTCATAAGAGGATGTTTGTCCTTTCTTATATACTGAAACTATCAGCGATGGAGACCAGTCAGATGGGATCAAATTTGGCGCCCAGGTTCTATATAGGATCTCAGTGCAACTGCTAATGTGTGACCAATTTCCGTTAAAACCCTAGGGGTTATTCCATCATGCCATCACGAAATAGTCGGACACTGAAGTGTGGCTGAGGGCCAGTTGAACTGTTTCATAACGTGTTCTGCTCATCGGCTAAATCTCTTGGACTGAGAGTGAGAAATGGTACTGTCTTTTCCTGAGATGGCTCCACCAACGATCGGAATTTTAATATCGTTTCATTATTAAGTTTTATCAGTTGTCTACTGTTGCCTATCGCTGCTGCTGTTTTTTCTATCTCTTCTGCTTTCGCTTCCCAAAACTGCTCGTTATTTTGTGCACTCAGAAAGTGACTGGGTATAACCTACTATCAGAGAATGAAATTCAACAAACAGGTAATTGAGTATTTTCGTCTACCAACCACCGTCTGCTTGGGTTGATGAGTAGATCCTTGTGCTGCAACAGTTCTATACTGACGACAAGTAGAGAAACATCAGCAACAACATTGATGGTGTGTGCGTAAACCCACGTCAAGATAATTATATATTTTACCGTAAGCGCAGATCTGTTTTACATTCGCTGATTGTAATTTTAAAGCTGGTCCATGCAGATAGTCGTTAGAATTCACGAGAAAAAATCTTACTTCTGCACTGGTGTCAACGGGACGACGAACTTTCGTCATCTCATCAATGATGTACAACAGTCGGCTGTGTCCGTTGGCTGCGGTTGCAGTGAATGCGTGCCGGCGTTTACGTTTCCTGAAGTTTTTGAGTGTTGGACTATTAAGAGATTGAGAAATTTCAGGTTGTTCTGCAATTTCTAGTTAACTTACGATCCTTATTGTTGCACCAAAACCAATCGATATCATCTGTCCCTAATAGTCTAGAGACGCATCTTTGTCACGATGGGCTTCTTCATGAAGTTTGGGTAAGATTACGATTGACGAATATGAGGATGGCAAGTGATAAAGGTCTGTAAAGTCATTTTGCGTCATTTGACTATTTTCTTCGACAGAATAAACGTCGATGCCGGTAGTTCTGGTGATCTTAAGAATCCTGACGGCACATGTAACCAGTTTGTCTACAGCGTTATTTTGAAATGAGACAAGGACTGCTTGCACTTGTTAGGGAAGCTTTGAAAAGGAAAGTTGCCTTAACGCATTCCCGTCAAAAGTTCGTTGTCCAATGACCTCTCGAATACCTAGCAACAATCTGTTGCCGAACCATGTTGCAACTCGATGTTGTGGAAGAACTGGTCTAAACCTTGTCTATCCGTTATGTCTCCATGTTTAAGGATAGCCTTTTTAAAGTGTCGTATGTTTCAGAAACATAATTGGTGAACATGCCAAGTGTGACGTAGCTGTTAAAATTTCGCGTTATTGCTTTGACTACTGCCTGTAATTGTGCACGTGGGTCTGTCACAGCGTGCTCGTGGACATCAGCCTCAGTGTAGCAGAACCAGGTTTCGCGACTGTCGAGACACAAAGGTAGGAGGCGAAAGATTTTGAATCTATTTCCAGTCCGAAATAATTAAAATAAGTTGTACTAATGGGCGGGAAAAATGGCTGGAGACATAAAAACCATATCGTCATTTGTAAAAAAGTATAAAAATAGATATTTGATATTCCTACAAGGAACAGATTCACAGTTTTTTGTTTGATGTACCGGCTTACATTTATCTCACCAATTAAAACAGCACAAGTATTCAGAATATGACAACATCTTTGCACATAACACTTTAATAGTCAAAATAGATCAACTCGGTCAAGTCAGAAAGGAAAGAATTCGAAGATATATTTGGAAAGCTACCGAAATGTCGAGAAGCGTTTGGTCTAAACTGGACTGCAGTTGCATGGGATGCGTAGCACGTGTACAGACTCGTGATCTGGTTCTTATGAGTGAATGGACGTTTTCAACCAGAGTGTATGCAATATAAGCCGAATAGTTCAGCACCAATGTCGAAGACTTACATAACTATTCACAGCTACATCGTCATGCATGTAGTTCCAACCATTCAAATAATAAGCTTTGTAACGTGCTAAGCACAAAGCCGTTTGTTCGAAATACCCAAATTTATATAAAACAAGAAATCCATACAAAACAACAAAACACCATCAAACACCAAGTGAATGGCTTGGATACATTGTGTGTGTAAAATAAAATCGGTTTTCCAAATGACTCTGAATTCATCAAGACAAAAACCGTCCATTAATAAACTCGGAGACTTAACTTAACAGCTCAAAATCAAATGCCAAGAAGCTCACCGTGCTTATTTTTTCTGGGAACGTGTGATATCTCACATTCAACAAAGAACAGCTTGTAGTAAATATATTTCAAGATAAACCTTATTCAGTCGTCATATTTGTTCTGAGAGAGGTTGCTAATTTTAGTGACAAACTTTCAATCCGTTTATAGCTCTCGAACATTTTTCCATTTTCTGACGAAATCGTAACGCAATGTGCTAATATAATTTAACTCATTAAAGCGCTGGCTTTGAAGCTGACTTAATGCGGTCTTTTGGTTGTGGCCATGGTTAGTTTTTTTATTATCTTGAGTACGCGTCCGAATTTAGACAGAAATAAGTATAAACTAAACAATATTAATAACATATATAATTGCTGCTTATATTTTGTAGGAAAGAATGAGGCAGGATCATCTCTGTAAATTTCCTCCGTGTTCTCTTAATTTCAATTCTCAGCTCGCGGGTTTGAAGGTGATACAAAAAAACACAATATTACTTTCATTATAGAATTCCATAGGATTATGGGAGGATATGATAAACAAAACTTCAAAGTTGAGTGCTTCACTAAAGTAAGTTGTTAACATCTAAATTTAAATTTACGTGAAATGCATTTTATGATAAAAAAAAAACTCAGAATGCTCAGGTCTTTAAAGTTTACAATATGTCAACCAAAATGAATACAGATGTTGGAGTAAATCCCTTTCCGTTTATGACCTTAACAATACGCCAATGTATTCGGCGTAGGCTGAGTGCATTGTTCGCAATCAAACGATTTGTAACCTACTTTTGTCACTTGCTTTCTCGTTTCTAGCTATGAAATAAGTTCTTGTTGACTGATACAACTTTATAATAATCAAAAGTCTAGCTTAGAAGGGTTTATTCATTACTGCCCCAACATTTCGCCACAAATGTTGGTTATAGCAGTTGGGTTACTTACCAGTGTAGTTCACTTGTTGTTCTTAAAACCTCATTATAGAGAAGCTTTATTGTATTTTTCTCTAAACCATTCGTACACAAATCGATATTTCGGAGTCTTATTATTCAAATCAATCAGTGTTTAAAAAGTCATAACAAAGCTATAAACCACTAAATGACTGATTATTCTAGATTTGGTCAAGTGGTGAGAATATTCGTGCTCTCTGTTTTGGGTTTGGTTCTGAAAAACAAACGACCCTCTTACTAATTAGGTCATAATGATTCATCTGGTCAATCATTCGGAGCATTGTGTAATTATTATTGTTAAGTAAAATATTCCAACTTATATGAGGAAACAGTTACTCCGATCAAGTAATTATAACGTATTTTTGTCTTTTATCAAGAACTGTGATTCAGTGCATCGGTGGGTTTCTAGAAGCATTTCAAAAAATTGCTGACTGTGCATATGGCAGCAACTGTGGTTTAAAGGATTTGGGTTCTTCAATGACTCGATTCTGTTTGCGCGAACGGGGACTGGAATCTAGATTACGCACTTTTAACAGGTAACTTTGCTATTGACTTTAAGTTCAAGTTTTTTGTTTTGTTAATTTGTCTGTGGAGTTATCTACTGAAAGTCCACTTGGATGTATTTTATGTCACTTCATGGTTGCTTCTAACCTTTCATATAAGCTTTATTGTTCAAGAAATTCATTTGTAAACCGTGAAATGAATCAAACTGTATGCTTACTTAAATACGTGATGCTAAAACATAAGAGGAAATTAAATATATTTTGTAATTTCTAGGGATTTTATTTTACAAGCTTTCCAATTAAAAATCTAATTTGTTCAAAATGACTCAAATCTAATACTTAGACCTAGTCAGTTGGAAAAGTGTTAGTATTTCAAACATTGATGTGTTCCAGGTGATATGCAAAACCTAGTTTGTCAAATTGGTCTAACGTCGAACAGGTCATTTCACTTTACGACCACAAGAAAGGGGTAGTATTCACAGACTGGCCATTATATTAAGTTCAAACAGTGGTGGATTTAATGTCATGTTAGTTAGTTGGGAACAGTCAGCGGGAATTTCCAAGTCTAGATTTTATGCATTCCAGCACATGTCAGTACCACGTATTCGGGACACAAATGAGTCTGATGGTGCCGTACATATTCGCGTTTACTCTGATCTGCAATCAAAGAATTTTCCACACTGGTGCGTTGACTCAGTCGCGTTTAACGCCACAATACAACAATTTACCCACAGTTACTTATTGGAATATTGTAGTTATTATATAAAAGCTGTTGAATCATCTACACGCAATCTTTAGGTTTCTTTTTTGCTTATTTAAACCTGTTACTTCTTATGGGGCATTTGATATCGACTAGAAATCTCCAACCATCTCTACCCTGGACTTTTCATACATTGTCCGGATACTCAATAATTTTTGCTCTGGTTGTCAAATGGGGCGTCAAGCTCTTGGCTCCCGAAGAATCTAACCATGAGACGTCATAAATCTTCTGCGAAGACCCTTTAAACTACACGGCAGAGTCTGAATGGTTTCAGTAAATTTTCCCGGGCAACGTTTTTAGTATGTTTTTTTTCGGGATCAAGTTTTTAATGACATTCCCAATCCTCCTTTATCGGGGCTTATGACTGGTAGTAGCCATAGTAGGGTTCCAAGCCTATTTTTCCTTATTTGCTACTTGAAGCAAATTTATCTGACTTATTTTCACAGGATCGTTTCATTTTGTTTTTAATCTAGTCAACTCACCGAGTGCTTAACTGCCCCGCTTGTCGATCGTCTTGAAGAATGGAAACGTTCAGTGGCTCAGTTGGATCGAGAAAATGGGAAAGAGTGGCGTCGAGCAAAAAGTGAACTTCAGAGAGCAACATGTGAGCTAGAAAAGCTTTCAAAGCGTTCTCGTCGAAAAGTTAGTAAAAATGTCAACCCACTTTTTTAGTCGAATTTTGCATATTATAAGCTGACACCTTTTTACTGGAACCTAATTTCACTTGTTTTCTTCAAATGGTTTCAAAGTATCACCATTCTTTAAGACTAGCGTTTGATTAAATCTGTCATATCTAATGTATCATCAATGTTCTGATTAGTAAAACACTGCACTAATAATTTCATTTCTGTCATTATTAATGTTAACTCGGTGGTTCTTGTGGTCCTGGGTTGCCTCTCTGGTTTAGCTGAAGAATAGTCCCACACTATGATGAAATAACTGTTCAGTGCTCTCTATTTTTCGCTAATGTTCCAACTGAGATTTATTTGTGGTGAATACAATCTACAAATCATTACTAATGTTATTACTGGTATTTAGAATATTACTTAGTGGTATACTATTCGAATGACCCTAGAAAAATGCGTTATGGTCTAAGAGAGCTATATTGCCAATCAAATAATGTTTATTAGTCGGACTAATCATTAATAAGATCTCACTAAGGATTGGATACCATCGTCAGGGTTAATAATTAGGCATTTCAGGTGTTTTTCATGTTAAGGCTTATTTTTTAGAGGAACCTTCGAAAACAACTGAATAATTTTGAATATTTCAGATTATAATATGATAATCTGTCTATTGCGTTTCGCTATTCAATTTAACCACCAATGTATACTTCTAACACCAATGGATCGTTACCTAGAAAAAGAAAATTAATACTACATGGGAAACTTTATTACTTAAGTCCAATAATTAATGTTTACAGTTCATGTTTGCAGATGTTATATCTGACCCAAACAGGTACATGTGAGTAGTGATCTTGCCTGGGAGAAGAATTCACTTCTTTAGGGCGGTTACACTGGTTTCTCATTTATTATGTGAACGTGAGACGATATATGCTCAGTTCATCTTGCCGGGTGTATCAGAAACATCTCGTGAGAAAACGATTTTTTCAAGTTTTCATCAGGATCCTTCTACAAAATCCACTTACTGTCTACTATTGTTCATCCTACTTAGACTTAAACTCAAGAACAAAAGATTAACGATATATCTTACTATGGCATATATTGAATTTCCTAAATATATTAATGGGTAGTGATGACTAAATCCGGGTAGCACATTTACGAAGACTCAATTATTCAGTGGAGAGAACAGAAATATTAAAAGTGACGGAGAAATTAAACAGTAAACAAGTAATTCTAGATGCGTGTGGGTAGTTGTTGCTTACTATTTGCCCATACCATGTAAGGATTCTTCTTTCGATACCTGAAAAATAAACTTAATTAGTAGTATTCTTGTCAGATTAACAGTGCGACCGCAGAGCTCAATGCACAATTGCTTGTGGCTGGTCACATATAACCTTTTCTCGATGTGTTAGCTCCAAGCTGAAAGGGAATTGTCACCGGCAATGGAAATCCATGAGGCAAGGTGAGGTATTATGTTTTTAGGACCAACCTTTTCAAATCCAATCACTCCCCAACCGAATTACCAAGGATGGTTGGTAGCGCCTAAAGAAACAAGTGTTCCAGCTGATATTTTGCGATCGGATCATTATGATATCCAATCCCAACCGTTACTACATCCAGGTAACAGCTACGGTTGAGTGTAAGATAAACTGATTTGTTCTTCCATTATATTAAACACCTTGTACTTAGCTTGATGGTAATTGTTCAATCTCTATCGTTTCCTACATTTATTATACCATATTTTGAAATTAATCATCTCGAAAGCATCTAACATTTAATTCTTTTTCAATAACTTATCGATTGGCTTGATTAAAATCTCCAGTTTTTCCAATTAGAAAAATTCCTACAAACATTTGTCTTTTTTCCTGATAAAAGGAAAGAATGAAAGGAACACCTTTACTGTTATCGTAATATGCATAGAGAACACTAGTCGTATATTCGTTCACATGTTTATTGTCTTTTTGTAATTAACAATAAAAAGCAAGTTATCTTTCAAGTTTATATATTTTATGTTTTTCGACAATTAATGGAATTTTTTCCTCATTTATTTATCTATGTATTCATGCCTGTGTTATTATAGATTGAATTACCTTAATCCTTCCATGTAGTGTGCATACATATGCTCAGTGATTATCTGTTTATTTCTAAATAACTAGAATTTTTGGGTGTATAGCAACTTGTAGGTTTAGTAAGTACATTTGTGTGTTTGCAAGGTTTTAGTGTTCATCTTCGTTTTATTAGTCAGAGAAGTATTGGGAACATTGACTTTTCACAGAGGGTGTTTATATAAAAAATTGTCTGGGCACTTCTAGTTTTGTATGTGTGCATATATATATGCTTATCTGTGAAGAGGTTGAACTAATTTCCAATAGGTAATTCGAAATAATTGTGTTTATTCACTGTGGGACTATGATTTTATCATTATCACGGTTATATCATCCCCATCAATATCTATGATTATACAGTATAGTTATTATTATACCACACTTATTACTGTTAATATGTACTCCTCTAAGATGAGATGGCATTGATTATTTATATGGATGTATATATATGGTTGTATGTGTTTAGTTGCCCAATAAATTACACACATTCCCCTTCCACCTTTACAGCTGTTTTAGAAAGATGTTAAGTTTAGATTCTGTTTGCTTGTATGATGAATCAACCTCAGTAAAACACAATGTAGTTTGATCTCTATACGCATGTACATCTGTATGTGTACATTCTTTGTACTCTTTTATGTACTTATTTCACGTACTGTATAGTAGGAATTAAAATTAAAATTTAATCTGGTATGTTGGGATTATTCGAACAAAATGTCAATCCGAAAAGTTTTAAATGAGTTCACGAACTGATCAATGTTAGACTAGCATTGATAACCTGGAAGCACTGGACGGCCGTTTCATCTTAGCATGGGAGTCCTCGGCAGTGCACATCCACGATTCCGTATGTGGGACTCAAACCTAGGACTTTCAGTCTCGAGCTACAGCACTGAGCCGGCATCCAACGGTGTTAATGTCTAACTTCAAACAATCCACCATTTTGCGTAACCATCCTCCATCGTCTTCGGTCAGTAACTGCTCCACACCTGACACAGTGGAACTCCACTGGTCACAGCTTCTCATTAGAACTCTGAAAATTATCATTCTAGGACGAAACGGCCATCCAGTCTTTCCAGGTTTTCAATGGTAGTTTAACATTGATCGGATCATGAACTCAGCTAAAACTCAACAATATCCAATTCATTGGGCTAACTCTTGGTATTATTTAGTGTAGAGTTTCATATCTGTTTCTTATACACACTCGTCTTTGGTGTGAATATGGATTCGTTTGTTTCGCTTTGTATTTTCATCTTAATTAGAATTTTTATTTTCCTGATATTTACAAAATATCACCATCTGTTAAGACAAAAATGCTGACAATTGATTAATTGTTATTACACGGTTGTGGAATTTCATTGAAATAGCTGACCGATTAAAGTGAAACCACCATTGGAAACCTGGAAGCACTAGACTGCCATTTAGTTCTAGTATAGAAATCCCTAACAGTACTCAACCACGACCCCCTACTGGCGGTAATCGAACCTAGGACCTTCGATTTCGTATGCAAACGACTAACTTCTAGAAGACTGAACTGGAGTCCAATGGTATACAAGGTTTTCAATGGTTCAAATTTGGTCGCTTAGTGATTTCAGTGAGATTGATTGTTCACTGAATAATAAGTAATGTCATCTTTTTTTGTTTTGTTGTTTAATGACCGAATTTTATTGATCAGATTGTAATATGGCAGCTGTTCTAAGTGACTCGAAGTTGTGAACACTATTGATTAGTTCCTAAAAGTTCAAGAATTCCCTCGTTATTTTTATATAATTCTTTATTAGATTTTTTTTAGCTAGTCTTGTCTCATGAGTTCATTGTTCCTTAAGGAATCGACATTGGATTTCATGAGACATACTTTCTGGGCTCTAAATTTACCATTCCTCTAGTAAGCGTATTTTAAGAATAGTTCGTATAGCACAACGTGGTAATAATTAATTCATGCCTCGACTGAATTTTATTATACCTACTGACTTTAAACATTGTTGTTGACGTGTCAGTTGATTAGTGCTTCTTCGACCCCAGCGTTCTAATATAATATCAATTAGTATTTGTTTTTTCAGAAAGCACCAATCTAACGACTGATAACCTTGATAACAGGATAAAGCTTTTAAATAGAGACAAGCTATTGACCAAAGTATGTTTTAAGATAAAAATGAAGAAAAGCCCATAAACTAAGGGGAGCGAGGAAATAAAATGGGTGCACCAGATACATCATGTTGTAAAATGTAGTAAAGTCTATGGGCGATTCATCATCCTTTATTTACAATTGTTACCGTCAATGTAAAATTTTTCAAATGTTAACTAGTTATTCATCAAACAGAAGCAGGTGACTTCCTTGAAAAATTATTACCAACCCTTAAACTTAAAAGTCCTACTCATTATTTAATAGAGCGAAGTTAGTATATATATTCCTGTGTATCTGATAGGTAGAGAGTAGGTTCATGATGTAATGCATATATCCACCACTATTTCCTTAATCAGTGTTCACCGTATTCTCTTCTTTTCTGAATTGTTTTAAAAGTGAATTTTGTTCCATTGTTTAAAACATCTCGAATGGTGTTAGAAGTTTGAGATTCACTGTTACTTTGTGTTTTTCAACACAGCGAGAGAATTCTTGGTTTTACCTATTAGTGTATTACTATTAGGGATGATCTCTTTTAATCTCCTCTTTCCTTTGTAAAAAACCAGAATCTCTTGAAATGTTAATAGTCTGAGGAAAGCAACTTACTACCATCGCACCCACCGAACAATCATCGGTACGAATTCTCCCTCGGATATTAAGTTTTAGATCTCTTCAATCGATCTATTTTAAATGGTTAAACCCAGATAAACGTTTATAGCCAATACTTCTCAATTGAACCATCACGATATACAGCTACAATCAAATGATTTTCATTTCTCGTTTCCGTGTTTACCTTTTGAATAAGTACGACTATCTTTAAAAAAGTTTCTAACTGGTTGGATGATTGTTTCCTCTTTTTTTCCTTTATTTCGTTTTGTCTTGTTCTTCATGATGAAGGAAAACAATCATCCAATTTTGATCATGTGGTGATGTATTGTTGCCGTTTGTTGTTTTTGTTTACTTTACTCTGCATCAATCAATTTTGTTTACTTTCATTTCCTAAAAATAATTATTTATTCGTTGTAGGTAATAATCAGTTTTTCTGTGTATCTATTTTAAGTGTAACAGTTGTGAATGGACTCATAATGTAAAAACGTTATGTGCATGTGTAGTTGTGTATAATTATATTATTTAATAGGGTAAAATCATTTTAAAATTGTTCTTAATTTTAAATAATCCAGTTCCTTGTGTTAATAAAGTAAATAAGTGATCTACTTATTCTATTTAAACAAAAGTTTTGTTGTCATTAAATTAACTTTGCTTTTGATAAACAGTAGTTTTCTATTGTAAGTTTTGAAGAGTGATGATGACTTAGTATTTAAACTACTTGATATTTCAACCAAGTAGGTCACAGGTTCAAATTCTACTTTACCTACCAATGCTAGTTGTAGCATTTAGGCTGATCGTTTCATCCTATTTGTTACTCGTCTGTTGGATGCACCTGTTTTCCAGTGTGTTGATGTTCATATTGAGACTTCAACCTATTACATTTTGGCTCAAACACCAACTTAGTATCCATTGTGCAATTAAGTCCAGTTACCTTCTCACTTATTCAACGGGTATATAGAAGCGAAAATTTCAATAATGACGAATTACAAACTCTTATTAATGTAAAGATAAAATTCCAACAACTTCCATGTGTTTTCATAATGAAATAATTGGTTTTACCCAATGGTTTTTGTAGATTGTTACTAACGGAAACTGCGACCATAAAATATGTAGTAACACGTTAACAATACTGTAAAAATCTCTGTCATATTTGATGGACATGACCTTGGGTATGACTCGTCAGATTTTCAGCTTGTATCGAAGTTGGTGGTATAAAAAAATCACTAGTGGGTAGAGGGACGTCAAAAATATATTATACTGTTTAACTGTTAAACTATGTTTGCAGGTGTGTATAAGATGTGAGAGATATATGATAAATCACGTTCAACATTCATGTTTTATTTCATTTATTACATAAGTTTCACGTTGTTATCTATTAGGTCATCGATGAGGGCTTCGTCCACAGTTTATTTCTATTAACATAAATTATATTTGTAAGAGTACTATTTAAGCACTTATATCTGGAGTTTTGGATCTCGTGCCATATTTCGGTAACTTCTATTATTTACTTCATGACCGTCAGGATAAATAAACTTGAATGTTTTCAGTGACTATTTGTATTATCTCATTATTTTATGTGGTCTGTTGCCTTATAGCTGTCTTATCTAGTTACGAAGCTTTCGTTGTTCATATTGACAACATTATTATTGTTTCAGTCGGAAGTGAACTATTTCGAGTTATTCCAATAATCGGCTAATTGGTTCGTTTTGATAACATTGTTTGCCTTCAAAGATTCTGTTTAGTTAACCTCTGACCTTTACCCCATGAGTTGATAGATCGAATCTGTGTTAGTATTTTTGTTGATTGCAGACTGTCTAAAATTTTATTCTGTACATTTCTTGAGATTGATCATTCAGTCATATGAGAATGTAGAATCTTAACATCTAGGGGAAACTAAAGAGTGAATACATCTGGGTTACTGCAGCTTGTTTCGAGCCGTTTCACCCAAGGCCTCTAATCACTGACCACAGTTATCATGCGAACTCTGACAAAGCAGTCAGGGATTCCTAAACCTTTTTCGATCCACACTTATGACATTCGCCTTGTGGAATTCATGTACGCAGTTGTCTGTTTGCGTTGATTCAAGTGATGACATTGTCTTTTGATTGCTAATCTTTATTTATGTATGTTTAAGTAGGGGGTACGCTCTAAATGTGTTCACTCAATTTTTCCACTTATAATATTGCTATTTCATCTATGATTCCAAAATATAATTTAATCAAATATTTTCCTTACTAGTGACTTCCTAAGTCCACTAACTTAATACAAACCTAACCTATTTACCAATTACGGGTTTTATGTAATCTGCTGTGAATCACATTGTTTACTTCAAGGCTTGTGATATTATCCGCTTACCCAAATCCTAGTAGGTGAAATAAATTTTGATCTTAAAATCTATTGGTTAGAGACCGAGTACTTTAACCACTAAACTGCGATATGTGATTATATAATATTTACCACATTTTTCATCTTTGTTAGCTCACTAAGGTCATCTGTGATTATGTTATAGTTTAGATTATGTGTTTACCTTTTCAGAATATGGATGATAACAATGGTGACAGCGTATAATCTCTAATATCTAAGTTGGCATCAGTTTGGGCAGAAGAATATCGTTTGGAATGTAGTGTGTAAACTTACCTTGGTTGCTAAACGAAAGAAGTTGAAGAGATAGTGAACGTGGTTAGTAGTAGGAATGAAAGCATAGCATAAAATGATGATAGAGAAAAAAGTCTTGCTAGTATTCATTACTATGTTTCTGGCGAGGGTGGGTGGGAATAAATAGTACTTCCTTGAGTCCCTAATCCATATTCATATAGATTCCTCTTAAAAGAAACTAGATCTGATAATATTGCTTCAATTTTGGTAGAATACATTTCATATTCGTTTCTATGCATCTAGTGGAGCGGTGTATTAGTATCTACGACATTTTATTTTCAGTCTCTAATTCGAATCTTGCTCGGCATATTTCGGCTTGAGAAAGTGACTGGTATCACTAGCTCTTACACTTAGTGTATGGCTTAAAGCTAAGCAAAATAATCTGTATCTAGTAAATAATTTCTATGTAATAATTTAGCATGCAGTAATCTAAAATATTGATTCAATTATCTCATTTCATGTGTTTTTACTTATATAGGGAAGCTCAGCATCCAGTTGTACTGTTGGTGGTATTAATGGGAGTGTGGATTCCAGTTCGCATAATGAAATTTACGCATTTTCCACGATGCAGTCTATAGATTCGAATAACAATACTGTTCTTCATTCTGGTGATAATATGCACTTAAATTTTGTTCAACATGATCTAATTTTGAAACAGCAAACTTTAGCAGAATTGGAGCGTGTTAGTTTACGAAGAGCAGTTGTTGAAGAACGTAGACGATTTGCTGAATTGCTTACCTGTTTAAAACCGGTTTTGGTGAGTTACATCATTTTATTAAAATGTTACAGAACTTGTCTTTTTCTTATTTGAAGTCATTTGACTATGTGATTGATGTAAGCAATGTAGTAATTGTTTTTAAAACAGATGTACTTAATGGAAAAGTAGTAAAAATTTACTGTAACTTTGTTGCACTCAATTCAGGTTCTTGTGTTAAGCCCTCAGGAGTACGTTTTGTACGTCGGCTGGGATACTATATTATTATTAACGTAGCAGTTGTAACGGATTCTAACCTGTTAGGTATTTGTTAAAAATTAAATGTTTTGACTATTCAGCTACTAAAGGATATATAGAGTGGTAGCTCATTGGTTCTATCATTCAACATTCAGCCACTAATATTATGCTCGAACCCCGCTTTACCCACTTCAGTTTAGGTAACCAAATAGTATTCGTTAACCGTCACGATTAGAGTGTGGCCCATACTTCAATACCGGGTGAATTAGCTTACCACTGTTTATTCATTTATCATGTCTGTCTCAGTTTAATGCCTTGAACATCAGTGGTTTTGTCGTTATCTTAAGGAACTTTCGTCAGCATATAGGATTTTATCGGAGAATAGCTTTAAAAGTTGTTTTCTTCTATTAGTGTTCCGCCATTGAAACAGTCGATTTTCTCATAAATTTGGGGTCCAAAAAAGACTGCTAATTTTAATTCGTTAGCTCAGCTCATCTATTCCAAAATTTGCTGTTGATTTGAGTCATATTGGTACATATAGACTATGTAGTTGGAGATCACTTGATTATCTCAACCAGTATTTGGGAACGTTAGATGGTATAACTCAGAATCTGTTGCAGTAACGCTGATGGAAAGACTGTATCTGAAGTTTGTGCTGGTGATGTCGTTCAGAAGAACGATAAAAGCTCCAAGACCAAACCATCCAGCTCAGAGAACAAAACTCCATCAAGACTATCTTCTCTTAGATCATGAGTGCTAAAATTATCGTATAATTTTCTTACACAAATGCATTATTTTGCAAATCATTTTACTCAGTCATCATCGATGTAGAATTCTGGCACAGATATGTATTGACTGATCTTGCCATATCATATTTTGTAGACTTAATCTTTTGTAATACCATTGATATTATTACTATTTCTACTACTATGATGCCTGTTTTAATAATTCCATCTTATTGAACTGTGATATAATGTATCAACTTGAATCGATGCGCATGTGTGCCAGGTTCTACGCTGCTATTAACCAAGATAATTTTCATTGAGAATGACTATTATAATTATTACATGAACTTATTTTTTCTTCTTGGGTCATACTGTCTATACCTAGTTCTTTCCATTAACTTTTATACTGTTGCTACTTCTAATACTCTTGAACTTGTCCAAATCATTCCATTTGTCTTTGTAAATATGATATATCATCTTGGATTGATACAAATACCTATAAGATTCTACATTGTGTATAACTGCATTACTTACTCGGTGGTTCCATGATAGATGCATTGCTCGTAAGGATGGCAAATCAATTGATGCAGTGATGAGACTTCATCAGTTCAGATGGCTGGGACACGTTTTACTTATGCCCAACCACCGACTGCCCCGACGAGCGATGTTTTCTGGTGTAGGAGTAGGTTGGGAGAAACTTAGTGGCGGCCAGACCAAAACATGGCACAAATCCATGAAGTCACTGACAAGTGGACTGAGCCACGTTGGTAGGTGTAGACTACCTGGTTGGAAAGCGTGAGATGATACCAACCGATGGTTAGAGATCTTGAATGACATGGGTCAAAGTCGTTTGCAATGGTGTGAGCAGGTGCATCCACTCCTTGTGTTCTACCGAATTCTAATCTTCTGAATTCATAGTGTCCCTTTTTTCGCTTTCCTAATTTATTTCACTGGATTGTACTCCTTGAATAACATCTTCAAACTCTAATGTTTCCGATTACTGCTTATACTTTTACTACTTCTACCACTACGGGATTTGAATCAAAAACTGCATCTGTGCCAATGTGGTATGGCAACTTGAACTGATGTACGTACGTACGAAGTTCTACGTTGTTATTGACTGACTGACTGAATTGATTAAATTCGTTTGTCTGATTAATTTGGTCATATATATTTGTAACTCTATATTTAAAAAAAAACTTCTTTTTGTGATTGAATTGGGTAATATACACACATCTAATACTCAAAGAACTTATCGATTTGTAATGGATGAAATTATGTAGACTCGTTTTGTTTTTCTTTTGGTGTTTATTGAAATTTAATAGAGGGTTCTATTTTCATAGACAGTTAGTTAACTCAGAAGGGGTTTTGTGGAGATTTAAGTAATTTCAATATTTAAAATTATGAGTCACTTGTAACTAGAGCACCATGTAAAATCTAAGAACACTAGTGAGAAGCCGTGACCAGTAGAGTTCAACCAGGTCTGTTATGAGATATCAGCTCACTGAAAACAATGGTGTACGGTAGCGCAATTTTCTGGATTGGTTGAAGTTATACATTAACACCGTTGGATGCCGTCTCACCGGTCTAATGGTTAAGCGCTCGCGCGTGAGACTGATAGGTCCTGTGTTCGAATCTCGTGGGGGGGGGCGGGGTCATGGATGCACACTGCTGACGAGTCCCATAATAGGACGAAACGGCCGTCCAGTGTTTCCAGGTTTCCCATGGTGGTCTAGCTTCAATGGACTCATGATTTCAACTATTGAATATAATTACCTCCTTTTTTTTTCCTATAAAAACTAATATGTGGAAAGATAAAAGAAAACAGTTTATTTTATTACTGAACTTTGAAATTTCAACATTTCACATTAAACCAAAATCATTATCTGGTTTCAATTGTTTCTAATTGGTTTTCAACTATGATTCATGTATTGAATAAGTTAAACTATGTAGGGAAAAATCGAAAACATTTTAACCTAGATATATATTTCATTAACCATTAATATATATATATATATATATATATATATATATATATATGCGTATATATTTTCACCATGTACATTTATACAAAGCTGGTTGGGATGCATACAAATCAAAGTAGCATCTTGACTTTTTCTACGAAAAAAACATAGACATTTCTTTTTTGTTATTTCTTATCTTCTTTCCTTTTTTGGGTATATACGTGTGTGTGTGTGTGTGTGTGTGCGAGAGAGAGTGTGAACGAAACGTATGCTTGTCGTTTTCAGACAGTATGTATGTATGTATGTAGTTATAGCGAAATAGTGTGTATTTTTACGGTTGTTATTGTATAAAATCTGTAATTCCTGCTCGTAAATATGCATAATGTATCCATCTGTCTGTAAAAAATCTTTTGTTAATCTTTTTTCGTATAAATTCTTAACTAACTAGTTTGGTCTTGAATGGATGGTTTTTCACTGTTGGTGAAAAAAAAACCCGAGGAATATTTATGAAATTAAATTTGGTATGTGTTTATATGGGTTTGTATATTCTGTTTACCGTACTGAACTGCAATTGATTAGTCTCTTTCAGGATATGTTTATTGTGATTGGATTGTCTCTATATTCTCATCTAAATCAAACATTTTCTTTTAAAAGTCACATTGACTGGCAATGGAATTCAGGATATGTGTTCCGTCCTGTTTTAAGACTTGTCACTTGGATGTACATGCATCCAAGTGTTGATTTTTTAAGCAAAACTCAAACCTAGTACCTTTTGCTTCAAGCTTCAAGGCGTTAATCAGTGAGTTGCTAAGTTCAAGTAGTTATGTCATGGAGATCTGTTCAGGATGCATATATATCAACAGGATCTGATCAAAGTTCAATCCTGAATGTCAAAAACTACCTAGTAATAATAATATAATCATCATGTTCTTTGGTTATGTAGACTAAGTGGATAACGTCTTTATTTTTGAGGCAAATGGTCACAATGTGCACACCAACACTGGGATTTAGTTACATCTAGGTGATGTGTCCTAAACACGACAAAATGCAATTCTTGGATTCCAGTCCTATCCATTCTCCAATTTACCATTAAGTTTTATGTGCATTTAAAGTTAGTGCAATGGTTACTGTGTTTTGATATTGATTATCAGATATAGTACATATATGTATATTGACTCTCTTAAGAAGGCTTATTTAGGTTTGTACAGTTGAGTAACCTATCTTTGTGTGAAAATTTGTACTTTGCCTTAGACTTTAAGGTGTATCTTCTGTACAAAATTAAATGCTTCTATTCACATTCCACCAAATCTTGAAACTGACTTTCTCAGCACTTTCTAATTGCTGGTAATCTCTTGCATTTCAACTCTGGGCAGAAAACCGGGAGTTTGTAGAAAGAAAGATTTACTTCCAGGGTTAGTTTAGATACTAAAGACAGGTTTGTTTGTAGGTTTATGTATGACGTTGACATAGTGAAAGCTTCTGGGAACATGGTGAAATTGGTCATATTGTCAGGAATTATCCATTCAGGATATGACACACTTTCGTTTTCTACAACTCTAGAAAGCTTCTATTCACACTGATTGAACCAAGTACTTTAGTCATTTTATTAATCATTACTACTGAATTGTTTCGAATTCTTTGTCATCCATTTTGTCAATTTTATCTTGTCTAGCTGATATTTGGTGTTGTAACACACATGTGTGCCAAACTCTACGTTGATTGTTATTAAGTATTTCAACCAAATCTGTCATCGTACCTGTATATTAACACTATCAATCAGTTAGTTTATGCACATACACTAAATAGCCACTGAGTAGTGGTAAATATCATATTTGTTTTGTCCTTGATGCCGACCAAATTTTATCGATCTAATTATTTGCCAACTAGTCTGTGTAGTTCAATATTGTGTGCACTATATTTCGATGTTGTAATGTCGAGTGATCCGACTTCGAATCATTCAGAGAGCATCCGTTTCCTTGAAATTACCTTGTTGATAAACTCCAACTTGTATATAATGTATGTTTAGAGTATCTTATCAGCTACATTCAATCATCATCTAACACTAGTTCATATATTTCCATAGAATTGATCCGGGATTATACAAATTAATTAAACTTGACTAATTTTTTTCCTTCTCGTCCTAAAATAAAGCTAATCAAGGTGTGTTGTATTTCAAAGTTTACTGTCCAGACATTTATCGAACACAAATCAGTATTCCTTATAATACAACAAAATATTGTTTATATTAGATGGAAAACTTTGCACCATATTATAAATACTTGAAATGTTTATCCAAAAGTCAGATCCAATTAATTTCATTTATACCGTATGTATATATATCGTATTGCATGTTTATTGTTAACATATATAACTGACATATTCTATCATTTTGATGACTGTATTTCAATTCGCCTCGTTACCTTTCATGGATTAACTGATATTCAATACGACAAATTATTTAATGTGTTTCACCAACTGTTTCTCTTTTAGTCCATCATTTTATCTTCAAATAATTTTGTGTTTGCATATGTTTGTATGTTTGTTTGCTTGTTTTACCAACTTTTATTGTGCAAATAACCAAGGGGGTATTTTACATTTACTTCAATATCTCAATGAACTAAGAAATCTTTAGCTTTTATACATGTTTAAAGTTAATCAATCAATCAGTCGGTCAATTATGCACAATGTAGAATCTGACACCTTCATCCATTGTTTGACTTTGTATGGAATTGTTTTCCTTTCATTTAGATTCTTGAAAAATATTGTTATAAAATATTTGGTAAGATTGAGCAGAACATAAAAGTGCACAGTGCTCCAAAGAAATAAGAGATTAAAAAGTAATGAAATAAAACTAAAAGCAGTACATAGTGTTGCATACATATCGAGTACTAAAGTAATCAAGGTCGACTATGTGTAAATAGTATACTATAGAAAAGCAGTGGAATCAGTGTTCTCTTCTATTCTATGAGCAGTATTTGATAACGTCTCAAACCACTAGGTTTCGTATATCATGGATAAGAATTGAGCTTAACAGCTACGCTAGGGTAATGACAAACTCCACTCTCGCGATTTTAACCTTGCATCCGGAAACCTACCAAAATGAAGAAGGAATTATTATTTATATTATTGTAGTCCATGATGGAGGGCGTATTTATTTCTCTGTCGTTTTTGCTTGCTAACATGGAAAATGTAAAGTTTTCTAAGACGAAAATATTGTGCTACGGATGTGTGAAGTGTAGCGCACTCAATCATAAGGAATAAAAATTACAACATAGCAAAAGTCATACTTCCAATAGAAATTATTTCAAAATATCTACAATTGAGTGACTAAATAAATGTAAACATAACCGTAATTGTTGATTAAGATTCACTTTAATGACTTGATAACGTAAATTTTATCCCCAGCCGAAATCTCACTTTCAATCACTTAATCGTCTTCTAATCATGTTTATTTTTATGTTGAGATTTTGTACACATGCATACTATCAGTTCAAATGGATGGTTTGTCATTATTTTGTATCGTGAACAGCGATCACATGGCCAAATTGTATTGCGTACTATCAATCAATAAGCATTCCTTCAATCCTTTTAGTAATCATTAAAGAACCCAGTCAAAGCCCATTACTATCCATCATGTCATGCGTTGACACTCTCTATATTTTCAAAATCATCATAGTGTAAGTGACTAATGCGCGTCTTAATAATCCTTAGACTGAGATTCGTTTAATACAAATAAAATTCGTACTTACTGGACGTTTGTGGGGCTTTCCAAAAATATCCGTCGTCAAAGTCTCTAAAGGCTCAAAAAACTCCTAGAAAGGTTTTGTTCAATATGCGTTGTGAACTGAAGCGTTTCAGAAACATCGAGAAAGATGGAGGATTGTATTGCGTTCCAATTGGATAATTATCTATATCGTTACTATATTTAGTATATCTTCAGAAGTCTATGTAAGACCCAGGTCACACAAAACTGTATTAGTATAGTCTTTTCTGTACATAGCTCGTCTTGGAATAAAGCTCTTACTCATATTTAACGCCTTTCCCTTATTGTTGGAATTATAAGAAGCGACTAGAAAGTTAAGAACAAACGTTCACGGAACAGACTTATCAATGATAATTTATTCATCATCTATGAATGAATAACCTAGATCAGTGTTTTTTTCTTTGTATGTTATTTTTCATATTTTTAAACGTAACCTACATCCCATATGCATGTGTTTTGTATAATAATTCTTTACTTGTATTCTGTCTTACATTGTACTTTATACGTATTATTATTATTAGTAGTAGTACTACTACCATTATTGTTTTATTCAGTGTTGTTTTATTGCTATATTCATTGTTCTTTTTAGTAATTGTAAAGTTTTAAACGAATATCCTATTATATTCTGTATTTATTAATTCTTAATATTTTAACTATAGTACACCACTACTTGTTACAATAGGATTTGTGTTTAGTTAGTGTGATTCCACTTACTCTCTTGTGTATATAAGAGTTTTTATATTCGAAGAATCAATCGATGTTATTTACTCTCAGTCGGTAAAATTATGTTTACACTTTGTGTAAGTGTTATTCTTCATTTCTTTAATTTTAAATTATCTTTTAATCGTTATTGTATTAAATGATTTGTTTCTTCCATTGTACATAGCTAATTTTCGCATTAATTAATCACTCATCGAGATGAGCAGAAGTGAGTCGATGTAATGTAACCACTATTGAGATGAATCGTAGGTTAATAGGAAAAGATAGAAAATTGGTTAAGACATGTGTTATATATGCCTAATCATCGCCTACCGTCATTGAAAATCCTAGATGGTATCGGAGTGAGTTGGAAAAAAAGCTAGAGCCGATCAATACATGTAGTTATTGATAATTGGTCTGATCCATGTTGATAAATCCAAATTACCTGGTTAGTAAGCACGTGACTACCATTATCATTAGTGGTAAATTTACGCTTCATCTTACTCTAGATCCTGAGTTCCAGGATTCATACTTTTTGATTGTTTTTTTCTTTCAAATCATAATTTCAGTACCTAGTGTTTCTCATTATCATTCCAATTACATCATTTTAATTCAGTTGTTTTTCGTTCTATGAATTTCATCTCATCAAACTAATGTAATATGGTAACTCAGGCCGATGAAAATATGTTTCTTGATTGAGATCATGAACCGATTGATGATAGACCACTTTTGGAAACCTGGAAGCACGGGACGACCGTTTCGTCCTATTGTGGGACTCCCCAGCAGTGCGCATCCACGATCCCGCTCGCGGGAATTCTTGGAGTTCTAGTGCGAAACCGTGACCACCGGAGCTAATCCAAAATAGTTGACTGACCCAATCATTCGTAAACATGTGTCAATCAGATTAGTTTAACACATTTTAACCAATCATTAATTTGTGATCTGAGTAACTAAATTTAATAATGAAATATAAGTAGAGAAAAAAGAAACTTTCGAGTTAAACTCCCTAGATTGTGATTACATGTTGTCGAAGAACACAAAAAATGGAAGGAAAAAAATTAGATGTTTAGTCTAGTTTTGTTACTAAAACAGTTGGAAGTTAACCGATGACTCTTTAAATTTAAAAATCAAGTTTATACCTTCTTGTTGATATGACGTCTGAGATTACATCTATTTCAATTGAAGTCATAATAAGTGATGCTAACCTCAAAGCTCTTTTCTATCGTCAGTTCACAAAGCAAGGACAGGTAGTTAATAACTTACATCGACTGAGATGGTTGGGTCACGTAATACGCATGCCCACTGACTTGCGGTGCTGACCGTTGTTGAAGACGGATGGAAGAAAGTTAGTGGCGGCCAAACCAAAACGTGACATCAGTCCATAAAGTCACTAACCTCTGGTCTGAACCATGTTGGTAGATACAGCTTTATTGGTTGCGTTCCGCGCGACTATCGTAATGATTGGTTGGAGATTCTAGATGACATGGTTCAGAATCGATCACAATGGGGTCGGTGTATACACCCTCTGTCTTCCCTTAAACTATGAGATTGAAATTACTTTATACCTTTCTTCCTACGAACTAATTCCTTCTCCCTGTATCATATCCTTATATGAAATCTTTTCTTCTACTACCACTGAATTAGAAATGAGTATTTAGGCTGAAACCTTGGGTAAGTGCATAGTCAACTTTCTCCAGCAGTATGTTTATTTATAATTTTTCACCTGTTTGAAATAGCTTGTGAACACGGACATGTGATGTGTCTATACACTTGGCTAACTCATCAATTTCACCATTTTATCTAAAAATTATAATCTATTTTCTTATTCAAGGACTCAAAGTTAGCCATATTTGGAGACGTCAGTTTGTTCGAAGAATCCATTCAAGCTATCACACATAGTTTATATGATCCAAATCAAATACCTAGTGATATCGAAGAAGCAATTGATTATGCAGTTGGTCTTGTTACTTCGAATGTTTTATGTGATCGTAAATATTCCACATCCTTTGGTAGTGGCACTCGATCCGATTCACGGTGTACAATACGATCAACGAAACATTCAACAAGTTCTACCACTATCGGAAATGGATTAGAATATTCTAATAGTACTGGTTTATCTTGTCATGCATCAGAGCTAAGTTTACAATCTTCAATATCTGTATCGACAAATGGATCCTGGAATAATAGTAATAATAACTGTATTAGCGGTGGCAGTGGTAGTAATTATTCACAATCTACAATTCATGCATCTGAACAGCACTGTGATGTTTTAAACCCAACACAAAATTCTGTAAGCAGTGTTTTATTTAAAAACAGTAATCGGTTGTATTAAATTTGCAGATTGTTTAACTTAATATTCTGTTGTATCTGTTAATAAAGCTTTGGTGCAAGAACTAAAGCTGATAACTCTCGAAATTATTGTTTATACTCTGCGACTTTCACTTGTCACATATGATTACCATAGGTTTTTCATTCTTCGTGAGTGTGTAATAGTTCAGTTTTGACCATGAAAATTCACGTTGTCATTATGAGTAATGCGTATACGTCTAGTGAACACTGTTTTCTGGTTTGTATTTCATCTTAGACAATCAGTAATATCACTTCAACTGTCTTTCAACTTCATTTGTAATTAATTATTATATCCTTATACTGGTTAGCATTGCCTGACCGTGTTAGTTCACTCGATTCTTTCCCATATCAGAACGAAAATCCAGATCGAACAATATACATATTCGAATAACACAAACCACAAAGATATTTCGGTAAAAAACACTTGAGTTAACAATGAATTTGTATAAGAATATTTTAGTCTCTCGATCTGTTCACTAACACTTGATAGCTGAAAATGGGCCGGTCAATGTATCACGATTTTAGCTTGATCAGAGTATGGACAATTCAGGATTGTCTAATCTCACTTTCCACTTTTGTTTGATTCCCCTTTCAAATTTATTTTTTTCCAAAGTCATTACTGTTCGGGTTGTTAGGGATGTCTACGTTTCTTGACTCTATCATTTGGTTCGACAATCATGAGTATACGCAATAATAAAGGTGGAATATCTCGATCCAAAGCTGAGATTCGGTCAGCCCTTGGTGGTCTCTGGTTCTCAGTTGGTCTTTTTATGGCCTCCTCAAAGTTAAAAGCACTAAGCTCATCGGTTTCGACTGTCTAGTTTATCTGATATATGTGGTTAAAGTAGTTTTTGAGTTGGCTGGCAACGCCGCTCCTGAAAACAAGTAAGACCCGCATCATTGCTCTCCACTTCCAATCGGGGATTCGTAACGATGATAAACTGAATTAGTTACTTAGTGTTGTTACGAGCATCTAAGCCATATTACTGCATAAAAAAAGACCAAAATCTTGGAGCTTTAAATGTTTTGCCCGTGTGGGTTGAAATCTAGAAAACGTGAAACCGTCCCTTTTCATGGTCACTTTTACGTTGAGAATTCCGTATTGAGTAAATGAGTTGTTATTATTGAAAAGAATGTGGAGCATCCAGTATTTTCCCATTTAAAATTTTCATTGTTCATATGTTAGCTCAAATTTAATCTTGTTCATTTTGTTTTTATGTTACGTACGCGTTCCATGTTGTACACTGCTTTATTATTTACTTACCGATACGATGACAAAATGTGAAAAATACCATTAGAAATTAAGATCGAAATTAATGTTTACTGCTTATACTCGCTTATTATGTAAACAATAATGCATAACCAATGTGTGTGGCTTGTTTACTTTCACATTTTCGATTTGTATTATCACAGCCTAATTTTGATTGATTGGTTTTTTGTGCTCTAAAGAAATACTATAGTTTCATATTTAAAATCATTTTAAATGGTTTTCCGCATGTAGAATAAATAAGTCGCTGAGCACTGTTCTTACGGTTTTTTCGATGATGCGTTCCAATGGTGTAATCTGTTTTTCCAGACTGAGTAAGTTGCTCACATGAACCCGTCAATCGAAAACATTATTTAGAACAAATAAATTGCGTTTAGCGATGAGATTCGGATTTCGCGTTTCATCGTATTTGAAGGATTCGTCAGCTAGATTTATTTGCATCCCAGTGTTAATGTTTATTCTGGGACATAGATCCAGTACCTTTTAATTTAAATGCCAATGCGTTGTCTACTGAACTAGTAATTTTAGATAGCTAATATCTTATTTTTAATGGGTACGATATTCAAATCATTATTAGTAAGTGTTAATATCAAACACGTTCTTTTACTTCATATTATTTGAAGGGGAGCTTTAGCAATATTCACGTACGGTCTGTATTGTCATATTATGTATTTTGTAAGTTTCTTATTTGACACCCTTTACATATGTATGTATGTGTGTGCATCCATTCATTTTCATAGGGTGCTACTGATAACCTCTTGTCTCATACAGCTGGTGGCGGTGTTGGAGATTCAGTTAGCCTTTTTGAAAATCCAGATGGTTCCATCAGTGGCGAATCCGGTTCATTAGGAAGACCAGTACCAAATTCTGTATTGGACTCAATCAATCCTGGTAAGTATTGATTGTTATTGTTTGTTTACATGGACTAACTACCTTGACATTAAGTTAGTTTTATTTATAAGAAACTTTGATTAGATTTTGTCGTTGTTTTTTACTGATTTTTATTGTTATCATTTAGTCTTTTGTTCTGTAATTTTCCCAATTAATGTCAAAATAATTGTTTGTATTTATGAGTCTCTTATCGTTACTGTATGTTACTTGCTGACTTACTGACCCTCTATGTAACTCATTTTTTCATAGTTTATTTTGCGGGTTTACACTAACTAGATAATCATATAAAAAAAGGCAGAAACCACTGTATAGTTGTTTCGTTTTAGAATGAAACTTGTAGTCAGTGCCCATCCACACGATTTTATATTGGAGGTCAAACCTATAGGACCTACAGACTTCTCACGGCAAGAACTTAACCATCAAACTACTTATTTTGCATCCAAATGGTTCCCCTGTTGGACTGCGCCATATAAGCAAATGCAGACTGCCTGGTTGGGGTCCGCATAAATACTGTGACCAGCAGCTAGGGACTCAAGATCCCTCTTTGCTTCCTCTTATGCCCTATGTTTTGAAATTTCTCATAATTTTTCGAATTATTTCAATAATTTATATTTTCCTCCTGAATTGTATCCTTAATGGCCTATCTTTCCTGTTGCTATTTATACTGTTACTACCTGTACCATTCTGGGATTCGTTTTAACAGTTTCATCCCACTGCGCTAACGGGGTTTGGCAACCTGAATCGATGTACACATGTGCCAGGTTCTTCGTTGCGTTTAATTGAATGACTGACATTCACATATGTGCAGTGTTGTTGCGTAAACTAATGTGTTGAAATTATCGTATGCGCTCACTTTTGAACTTTGAGGTTTAAATAGATTTCCCAATGTTTCTAACAAGAACTCAGTGGAATCAAGTATACTTTACTTATTTGTCATTATATACTACGTATATAATACATATCATAATTCATCAGATTGTTAGAAAATTTTAGGATTTAAGCACATACAACTATAAATCTAGCGCGCTTCTTTACAAACTACTGTTCGTTAATTATAATCTCGAACGGACTTAACGGGTTATGCTATTTTAGTCTTTAGAACTTGTTATGGTCAGTCGAATTATTCTATCAGTGCTCTGTCACAAACAGTTGTTTTGTTGCTTTTTTTGCTTTATACCTTTGTTTCTATGAACTAATTCTTTCTTCCTGTATTATATCCTTATGCACAATCTTTCTTTTATATATTACTACCATTGAAGTAACTACTTGTATTATTTATTTATTTGAACACATAAATATTGGTACAAGAGAGCGCCAATATATATGCGCCACACAAAACAATGAGAATTCGAAGAGAAAAAAAGGTAAGGAGCGTAAAAAAAGAGAACAATAACGAAGAGATTGGTGTAAGGTAGTGTAGTAATAATGAGGGAACGGAAAGGTACAATCAAAAGAAATCTTTCAGTTAAGGGAGACACAACCACTTTTTATGAAGAAAGTAAAAGAAGGTTACAGCAGGAACGCCACTGGCTTCTATTCTGAGCCATATCTGATAACGTCTCTAGCCACTGCGTTGCACCATCTCTCGGACCCCAGTCAGGGAGTCGTGAAGGAAGCCAGTCCTTTGCAGCTTTCTTTCATGCCACGACACCATGTCATGCACTGACCACCTCTCCGCTTCTTCCAACCAGTCCCAGAGTCGGCAAATAATGCACGACGTGTAATTCTCTGGGACGACATTCGTAGAACATGTCCAAGCCACCGAAGTCGGCGTTTCAAAATGGTGACACCAATTGAATTATCATCTCTGTGCCTAAACACACGATGCCGAACCTCTGCATTACTGACATGGTGTTGCCACTGGATGTCAGCAATCCTTCGGAGACAACGATGATCGAACACAGAGAGTCGTCTAACATCCTCAACTCGGAGAGACCAGGTTTCACAAGCATAGAGCGAAACTGCTCTCACCGACGCGTTGTAGATCCGACCTTTTACAGCCAGACTAACATCACGAAGGCGCCAAAGGTGGCCCAGATTGGAATAAGCCGCTCTGGCTTTCACTATACGTGCATTTATCTCATCACTCACACCCCCACCAGGACTTATGCAGCTACCTAGATACACGGACTTCCCGACTACTTCTATTTGTTCACCATCCAGAGTGAGTGCTGGATTAGAATCCTGCCAGTCTTGTAGAAGTACTTTGCACTTCGAAGGTGCAAAGCACATACCATACCTACGGACACTGATTGCCAACCCATTAAGTGCGGATTGCATGCCTTGGGCATTATCGCACAGTAAGACAATATCGTCCGCATACTCAAGGTCGAGAAGTCTTTCTCCAGGCAACAGATCCACACCACCATTACTTACTTTCATCAGAGCTGTTTCCAGAATGTCATCGATGGCAAAGTTGAAGAGGAATGGTGAGATTGGGCAACCCTGCCTAACCCCACTGCTCGAATGGAACAATGGAGAAAGGTGGTTGTATGCCCTCACTCTGCCTGAGGTGTTTGTATATAGGGCTTTTAGGATGTTAATAAACTTTTCAGGCACACCCTTCTTCATTAGACAATCTCAGAGAACAGTCCTGTCCAACGAATCGAAGGTAGCCCTAATGTCAAGAAACACTACGAATGTTGGCCTGTGATAAGTATGACGGTGTCCTAACATTTAGCGGACGGTGAAGATATGATCAATACATCCTCGACCAGAACGAAAACCAACCTGATCCTCGCGAGTCAATCTTTCTCGGGTTTTGAACAACCTACGAAGTATGACGGAAGCCAATATCTTGGACGCAATCGGAAGTAGACTTATTCCCCGATAGTTGTTACAGGAACGATGTGAACCCTTTTTAAGGATAAGGACAACTATCGACTCATTCCATGACGTTGGTACACTCTCTAGTTCCCAAACCTTTGTAAACATCGTCGTCAATTCCTTAGTCAGAAAGTCACCACCATCTTTAAAATGAGCCGGAGGTAAGTCATCTGGGCCAGGTGATTTGTAACGCTTCAAGTGTTGGAGTTCCTTGCGGACTTCCGCCTCATTTGGTGGATCAGTCGTCACTGGCCATGGAGGGCAGAACAGTCTGACCGATGTTGCCGGAGCAGCAGGCCAGTTGAACTGCCCTTCGAAAAGTTCTGCTCGTCGTCCAAGACGTCGATGGATGTTAGTGTTTGCCATCCCATCATCCTCGTAGATCGTTTCGCTCACACCAGACTTCTTGCTGCCAGTGGCTCGGTTGAGTTGGAAGAGCTTCCGGTAATTACCAGATGCCGCTGCTACTTCCAGCTCATTAGCACGCTTCGACCACCAGGCTTTTCGGTCCTTACGCAAGCTTTGCCCAATTTCCTTACATAACGTCCTTCGTTTGTGGTCAAACTCACGGTCACCCGGAGTAGACCGACGGGCTTCAATGAGTTGTAAGGAACCTGAAGAAACCCAGTGCTTAAAAGTGGGACGTTTCGCAAACCCACAACTGGTTGTACCCGCCATTTTCATGGCGTCATGCAATTGCAACCAATGCTCATTTATACTTTTCGGTGTAATGGTAGCTAGCCTAGAAACTAGCTTGGTTCGATACTTACTAGCAACAGAAGCTGCAACCAGCTTGCTAACATCAATCCGTTGATTGCGGTCACTTCGTTGGCCACTGAAAAGTAAGGTAAGATTGGCGCAGACCAGGGCATGGTCAGAGTCCAGATAGGTACTCCAGAAGGAGCGGCAGTCTTGTACACAACCACGCCAGCGGTAGCTGATCACGATGTGATCAGTCTGAGTCCAGGCATGAGAGGCAGTGGGGAGATGTCAGGTGGCACATCGGCGATGACTGTACCGAAAGTTAGTGCTAGCCAGAAACAGGTTGTGGTCTGTGCACAGTTGCAGTAGACGGTACCCGTTATCTGACGTGCGACCAACGAGTCCCCATCGGCCACCTAAACGACTCTCTTCTGTGCCTAGACGCCCGACCGGAGCATTCAAGTCTCCGGCTAGTACTACAATATCTGTCAAACGCACTTTCTGGAGAAGAACAGATAACTGATGGTATTTATCCTGTTTTGCTAATGAGGTGTGGCAACTTGAACTGATGCATATATGTGCCTGGTCCTACGTTGTAGCTGACTAACTTGCTACTTTTTGTCCATATATAATGCTTGTATATTAGAGTAAAAAGTATCACTGACTTGAAATGATAGGTTTATTTGTGAAGGATTTTGCCATTTATCAATAGTCAAGTATACAGATCCTGCGTACTTAACAGTTGATTCATACTTTGATTGAAGAGGAATTACGATACACTACCTTATTGTCCAAACCGTAATTTAGGTAGAACTGTATTTGAATCTAATCCAATCCACTTGTCTAAGTGATTATAGATACATCTTTATTATTTTCCAAACACATCGCATGAAATACTTGTATCGCGGTTATCAAATATGTAGTGATAGTGACTCTCTTTTTGGAAAGTAGGATGAGTTAGATAGTAGTTAATTGTAATTAAATCAATTTTTAACTTCTCATGTCTATTCTCTGGAAAAATGTTAGTTGCGAGCTGTAGAAGCCGTTGTAATATATATATATATATATATATATATATATATATATATATATATATATATATATATATATATATATATATATATATATATATATATATGAAATTTTCTACTCAAAATTATTTAAAAATAACAGGTTTTGTTTGAAATTAGACATTTAACCTTTCTTCATTTTCCCCCCGTTTGATCTTGTGCTTATTTCTGTTTGTGTCGTAATGTCTCTTCCTATATTTTTGTCAGACCTTTACTTTTTTACGTTGTGTTGTTCTGATGATAGGCGTAATAATTGAAAACTCATATCTCATTTGTGCAAATTTCCATGTTATTGATTCTTGTATATCTCTTAGTCAATTTGTCTAATTTGTAACCGAAAAAGAAATTCAGTATAATAATGTTAGTTATAATAACTATTGTTATTATTATCCAATCCCATCT